GGTCTGTCTGTAATCAGCAATATTATAGCTATAGCATCAGCAATATTATAGCTATATCACACTGGTCTGTCATCAGCAATATTATAGCTATATCACACTGGTCTGTAATCAGCAATATTATAGCTATATCACACTGGTCTGTCATCAGCAATATTATAGCTATATCACACTGGCTGTAATCAGCAATATTATAGCTATATCACACTGGTCTGTCATCAGCAATATTATAGCTATATCACACTGGTCTGTAATCAGCAATATTATAGCTATATCACACTGGTCTGTCATCAGCAATATTATAGCTATATCACACTGGTCTGTAATCAGCAATATTATAGCTATATCACACTGGTCTGGCATCAGCAGTATTATAGCTATATCACACTGGTCTGTAATCAGGTATAGTGCAGCTGTGACGATATTATCTATAATCTTTAATATTACACCTGTATCCCATTGGTCTGCTTCCAGTATCATTACACCTGTCGCTGGTATGCATTCAATAATGCTATGGTTGTTTCTCATTAATCTGTACTCAACTATATAAAATCTGCATCATATGGCACTCTGATACAAGAAAACATATTACTTTAGTCTGTAGTGAGTTATCATAATCAGACCGTGGCGGTCTATAAACGAATCCCTCTGGACCATCAACTCCAGCTGGAGTGGGAGGATGAAGCACAGGCAGCCAGTTGTTACTGTCAGAAAGTAATGGAATAAAATAGTATTCAATTATAACAAGAATATTATGACTTTTCGTCGATTGCCGATGTTGTGTAGATGTCATGGGTTTAATTTCGTTTACGTGTCATTTCGTTGCCAGTTCAACAATTATATGCACCCGAATCGTAGCACCCGATTTCGTATTATTTGCTGTGGTTTTATTTGTTGGTACATTTTGACGTAACCACGCCCTGTCATTGTTGTTGACAGTGTTCATTGTCTTGTCTTGCCTTGCAATGTCTGTATGTAAATATCGAACTGCTAGTTAATAGCTAGACTACTTCGCCTTCTTTTCAGTTACAGAAGGGAGTTACATGGACGTCCCTGTCTGTCATACCAGTGTAACCCAAGATGTCCGAGTTAGTACTCACTGATCGCAGTTGTTGCAACGCGCAGACTGTGTTAGATTATTGTTCAGCTGTAAGTGTACGAGCCAAGATACCGTTTACTGGTCGGTTTAAGCGAGTGAATGTGGTTTTACGCCACATTTAACAATATTCCAGCTATATTACGGCGGGGGACACCAGAAATGGGCTTCACACATTGTACCCGTGTCGGGAATTGAACCCAGGTCTCCCGCGTGACGAGCGAACACTTTAACCACTCGGCTACCCCACCGTCCCGGTCAGTATTAGATTTGATTAACTGGAGGTATTTATCTGAGCAGGTAAAAATCTATCAGCAGGGAAAACGTATCAATTTCAATGTTTGATCGGCCTTCTAAAAGTTGGTGTGTCGATAAAGAAAATTCCCTAGGAAGAGCGATAGGCTTTATCAATCAACCATTCAATTAGCATCTAATCAGCTTTTAGTCCTTCCTGCCCATTGGCTTTATAATTTGTGCTATTTGATGTTCTTCCTCTCCACCTGGTCACATCCAGTTATGTGCGACTTGCTATCAATGACCTTCTGATGTTAAAATGCTGTTTGTCACAAGTTTCTATGTATATATATACATCTCATTTCTTTGTTGTAGTGACTTTGAGCTGGATAATGTAAAAATCTTTCACCGGAAAGTCGTAATCTTCGTTATCAATTTCAACAAGATTAACATTGCTATCTCGGTCAACAGCAAACAAGCACCTCTAGCAGAACAAGTAAAAGGCGATGAAAGCAAGCACGACGAAATTGTAACACTACATCCTTGAAATAAGCCATTAAATATGCATTAACCATTTTAGACAGAAATTGATTTCATGTTTCGAAATTTCATATTCAGTTGAATGACACTTTTCAAGCTCGCTATATAAAAAAAGTCAAGCAATGACGTCAGTGTTCGTAGAATTAATGTCCACTTGCCCGAAAGAAAAGATAGTAGACACGGGCTACTGGGCAGTCACTGACTTCGTACACTGTACAGACATTGCGATTGAGTGAGTGGTTGTGGCGTGATGTTGGACATGACTGATAACACTAAGAATGACTGACAGAAATTTAAGCTGTGCTGCAAAGTCTTAAAATGTTATTGCCTACAATATGAGTGAGTGAGTAAGGTTTTACCCCACTTTTAGCAATATTCAAGCAATATCACGGCGGGGGACACCAGAAATGGGCTTCACACATTGTACCCGGGTCTTCAGCGTGACGAGTGAACGCTTTAACCATTAGGCTACCCCACCGCCCCCTACAATATGAGTGAGTGAGTTTAGTTTTACGCCGCACTCAGCAATATTCAAGCTATATTGCGGCGGTCTGTAAATAATCAAGTCTGGACCAGACAATCCAGTGATCAACAGCATGAGCATCGATCTGCGCAACTGGGAACCGATGACATGTGTCAACCAAGTCAGCGAGCCTGACCACCAGATCCCGTTAGTCGCCCCTACAATATAAACCAAGACGAGCTAAACGATTCACACAAGATACGTTTCCGCAAACAGGATCTCGTGTGTACCCCCAACTGTTTGCAGAAAATCATCAAAATATGTACCTGTAAAAGCTTTTTTGTATCTGTGCACGTTGGAAAATATTGATATGATCCATGTTTAGTTCAGGTAAATATACAGATCAATGTGGATATATACATCATAACACTGAGTGGACAAACTGTGCTGATTCAAACAACTTGAATTGAATTTGCTGAGACTGCAAATTCTGTCTGAGTCGAGTCCGCCTTTAAACGATCTTGATTAGCTCATTATCTGCCGTTATCTATTGAATGACAGTGCATCTCCAGCTTGAGCAAATTGTAATGATCAAAGCTTTATCTGTTCCAAGAACAGACAACTCTTGTCATTGGCTGACAGACCTTCCACAGGCTTAATGTTCGATCGAAGATCGATGGTATTTGATGAAACAAATGTGGAATTGCAAAATTGATCATGTCATTTCTTGACGTCATAGAAAAGCCCGATTAACTTTCGTTTCATAGAGTGAAGAATTCGCGGGGAATTATAACAGGAGTATTGCTAAAATTCGCGTAAGTCACAAATCACTCTCTTAAAAGCTCATTAAAATAAGACGTCCTCACGATACCCCTCTGCATTAAGAGAATATGCATGCAGGTCGAGAAATAAACCTGATCAATGAGTTACACATTTGAAACAGAAAGTCCAATGCCTTCAGTTACATTCTCCTCTAAGTTATAGGCAGTTCCGTTCTGACATTGCCAGAATATTGCTAAAAGCGGCGTAAAAGTAAACTCATTCTCTCACTGTTAGGTTTGGGAAAGTACATACCCGTGCAGAATAATAATAAGAAAGAAAAGACAGGGAACAAGCACTTCCGGTTTGATGACCTTGACCTTTAATCATAGTCGTGAACTGTCTGGAAATCGTTACGTCAAATTCCGAAGTTAAATGCTCAGAATGTTGAGTGTACACAACCTTTGGGGGACATCTACTTCCCAGTGACTCACCTTGATCTTCAAAGCCATGGATCACATACAAAAGCATTACTTGCAAGAAGCATCAATACAAACACTACTACCAATAGAACTTCCAAAGCCCCCTTTGACACATTCGCGACATAAGAGTGACCGAGCTGTGCTTCATCCCACTTTGAATAGTATTCCAGTACATCACCGTGTGTCGGCTCAATGTTTGAGATGTGTATATGTTGGTCTAAGGAAGTTAGGTACCGAGGACGATGTATCTGAATTGTCATGAGAGTTTTCATATTTTGACCTGTAGTGACCCTGGCCCTCTCTAAGGTGCAGACAGGTCAGTATCAGAGGAAAAGATCCAAATTTGTCATGATTGGCATGCCTCAAGTTATGTCTCAATTCTGTGTTTCTGTAAACAAAAACATTGTGACAGGTTACATTTTTCGGATTACTTTCTCAGTGAAGTACAGATTCTAGTACTTTTGATGGGTTGACTCCCATTGGGGTATCGCACCCACACAAAGTCAACCCACTCAGCCACCGCTTCTTCCACAAAAATAAAAGTTGGACAACTGGTAGTCTAGATCTCTCTGACAAGTGTATAAAAACATTGAACATTAGACTGAGAAACCAAGTTTCCCTAGCTTCCATAGTGAGATTTTTGAAAATTTGAAAATGAATGCCTTGATGTCTTGTAGACAAATAATATACACAAGCAGATCATTTCAATACATTCCTGATGGTTCCTGGACATTTTACTCTGACACCTTTACATCATGGAGCTACTAAGGTGTACAGTTGAAACTGATGAATATCTGGGTTAGAATTGGTCTTCACCACCCATGATTGTCGTAAGAGGTCACTAATGGATCGGATGGTCAGACTAAAGGACTTTGTTGGCACGTCATTGTATCCCAACTGCTGCTTAGATCGATGCTCATGCTGTTGATCACTGGATTGTCTAGTCCAGTCAATGACTTACTGTCTCCATATAGATGGATCATTGCTGAATGTGGCATTAAACAACAAACAAAAACATCAGCTTAAAGTTGTTAATGCAGTTTGTAATCCAAGTAAATCACTGGCATATAAATACTTTAGTTTGAACCAAAGGACTGTTAGCATGAGCAACAATCCACACCATTCAGCTGCTGATCCTGAAGAGTAGATGTCCATTCTCTGTGGGACCTATTCCTCACAATCTATTCTAAAACACATCTCTTCCCACTGACTCTGCAGTTCTGGTTATGTGTTTCTCACCAAACTACAATCACTTGTCCTGTAATTTGAGTATGTTCCTGTGTGGTATGGAAATAAAGTGTAATATAAACAGCATTACCATCATTATTAGCAAAGTCACACTGTCCTATTAGTTTCAACGGAAGGATGGACTCCTCCAGCAAACCGCAATTACAATCTGAAGGATAAAAAATAACAAACAAGATCTTACTTCTTTACTATATACAGAAGTTTATTTGTGAAGTGTACATTATACACGGTTTCCATCAGTTTGTACACAGTTGAACCCTGCAACATCCATGAACAGGACCGACATATATGAGCAAACCGCATCTTTGAATATTATCTATGATAGTGTCCATGGTCAACTGAGTCAGCCTAACTACCTATCAACTCAGATCTTCAATGGTCAGAAAGTCATCAAGTGAGTCTTCAATACAGACCTGTGCCAATAATATCATTACTTGATGAAATGGTAATGTATGGTGCTGATCAACCTGAAAAAGATGCAGACAAACCATGCCTAATTCATAAATTACACTCATTAGAATGATTTTCTAAAAGATAAACATTTCAAGATAATTTTCATAATATTGTTTCCTGCACTTGTCTGTATGAAACATTGACAGTATGACACAGACTCGATGGATGAAAATCTGCAAACAATTACAATTTTGCTATTCATTCACTTGAAGGAATAACCTTAGTATCAGTCAGTATAGGTGCTTTTCTGGAAATGTTTGACACTCTGACTGTGTTGTTTTCCATTCAAATGACACTTTGTATTGCAGACAAGACGATCACTACATACAGGCTTTCTTTGAAGTGATGAGCATAATAATTGCATCAAAATCCTGTCTGATTCTAAAATTTGACATTTGTACATAATATATGTATTTCAGGCTCATCATGAACCTCTTAATGCCTTCTATATATTGTTAAAGGAATCAGGATACCAAGCAACAGCATCATCAATTGTCAAAATAATTTATCTGAAAATAACAATGGGCCTTAAGAGCATTTAAACAAACCAATATTAATAATATTTCAAAGATAAAAATATTTTAAATACCTTGTACAATTAAGCTGAAACACACTAGCAACAAAAGCATGTCTCAAGGACTATGTTTTCAGAAGAGAAAGCTCAATCATTTGGTTGTGTACCCTAGACACCATTAGCAGAATATACTACAATGACAATGATAAGGTAATGACTGTAGATGTTTCCTTTATCCAAGGAAATTAATAATTTAACTTGACATCAGGTATACAGAAATTCATTTTAAACTTATCATTTCATTTCACTGAAATCCTTAGTTTTTGTCAATTTTGATGAATTTCAACAAATTGGAAAATGAAGTTGAACTGGCAGAATATGTGCAGTTTGAACATCTGTTACTGAATGAACCAATGTCGAATTATCTTCTAGTGAAACCTGATGCTTGCAGCACATGACCACAATGAACGCACATATACAATGCCTTATGTCATCTTTCTTGTCTCTGTTTATGAAAGACCATGTGTATATTCTTCATGGGCTTGGTATAAAACACTTCATCGATGTCTATGTACAGAATATGAATATACATGTTAATCTTTGATACACGATCACAACAGGACCTTTACAACAAAATTACAATGTGCAATTCTCACTTTGCTAGATATATTACAGTCAACAGCCAATTTCGGCTCTCATATACACAACTCCCACTTCAGACCAGGGGGCAATCACACAGACAGTTGACTGTAGTATAAGGAATTGTATGCCTATGTTAGTGACATTTATGGCATGGCAATACACAAAGGAGGAATTTGTCTCTCTTTCCAGACACATACAGTAACACACTTAAATGGAGTAATTCACTTGAAATAAATTGTATGTCCATAACAGGTATTTCTATTTTGGTGTTTTTCAACTTTAGCCATTCTTAACCAGGCAAATGTCAACTATTTCAACATCATGTTAACTGGTGGTACCAGAAACGCTTCTGAAGGTACCATGCCCATGCTTAACATGGCCAATTCAACATCCTCATGAGGTCTTTGATATACTTGTATATATCATTTATGGGGCATAAGGAAACCAAGCTTAGCTTATTGCACAGACTAGTCCTCACAGTGAAGATGGACAGTAAGAGAAGACAGGTGGTGAAGCTGAAAGCAAGAAAGCACAACCACATTTCCATGTAGGCTAGATCATAGCTGGACACTGAAATGTATACTTCTAAAATTGTCAACGACCTGTCTGTGCAGAAAGCAGCAGCTTCTTTGCTAGGTTTTAAGAACACCTCAGAACTGCACCCTGGTCTGACAAGAAATAAGCAGAAGAGAAAATTGCTTCTTAATGAAAATCATACAGCAAAATTTAGCATCTTACAACCTGTAAAAGAGTCTTATTGAAGAGGAGCCTCTACAAATTCATCACTCGTGCTTCAGTAACAAAAGAAGTGGAACATGGAGAGTAGTTTCATATTGATTTCTGTACACTGTCCAATACTATCTTGTAATTACCATGCAAAATCAAAAACATTAATCTTAGAAGATAAGAACAAAACACCCACCCACCCCCAATTGTCCCTTCTGTTATTTCAAAATTATCAGGAGACATTTATCATGAAAATTTACAAATTCAGCAATAAATACGCATCCATACTGAAGAGTGAGTAACAGCCGCACGACGCCATTTCAAAAATCGTTTTCCTTGTAAAGTAATCCGTTCAATGTTTGTTCATCTGTGGGGCTCCTCACCCTCAAAAAGTTTCACTGCTGAACATGTTTGTCAAGTTCAGAAACAATGGGCTGGCACACAGCTCACATGATGTAACAAAGTTTCTGATTGGACCAAAGTCTGATCACATGACAGCCTTGCTGTCCACTAAATGGTTGTATTACTTGCAGCAGCCTCCCTCTGACTGCTGGTTCTGTTCATTGTTCAACCTCACTCCCTGATTCCTCTGTTGCACAGCGCCACCACCTTCATTCTTCGGCAATTTCTTTGCTGAAATAGAAAAAGTAAAGAGTGAGTGAATGAGTTTTACCCCATTTTTAGCAATATTCCAGCAACATCAAGGCAGGGGGACACCAGAAATGGGCTTCACACGTTGTACCCATGTGGGGGAATCAAACCCAGGCCTTCGGCATGACGAGCCAAGGCTTTAACCACAAGCCTACCCCACCGCCTCCAAGAGTGAATTCCTATTTCTGTCTGTGACGTCCTGCGATTCTATTCCTAAATCACATGCTGTTCCACACAAAGGCAACACAAAGGACTGCAATCTGTAGATGATACAAGGATACCCTGCAAGAGACATCACAATCCATCTGCAACCCACTTGATGCTGTCGGTAATCTGTTGTAATCAGGGACTTAGACTTTGTATATTTATCCAGATGTCACTGTCACATCAGTGTCCTTCGTTACATGATCTTTGAATGGAACAGAAAATCTGGTATTTGAGACTACAACAACCTGTGTCCTCAGGAAGAGAAGTTCACCTTATTCAACTATATTATATACTTGAGAGGTGAAGGTGTTTTGAAGCTACAAATTTGTCTCCATCAATTAACTTGGATATTGATTGACGCCATGAATTCTTAAATCCCCCTTTCCTTGGACACAGACTATTGTAAAACATATCCTGAATATATTTTTCAATCTTGCTTATGGTCCAGTAGAATGTCACATATACATATTTTCTGAACTGATGAAAGCTTCCTAATGGCACGTCTTCCTAACTGCCATGGTAACCATTTTGATGCTTTTAAAAAAAAAGCCTTACTTTCATTGTAAACAGAGATCTCATTGTCATTTTCCAGACATTTAAGGCAATATGTTTAATGAGTTGGCAGAAAAGTTTAAGGTAATGATAGCAGTGTTTAATAGAAAGAGATTTAGAGGCAGCCTTTTTGAAGACAGTCACATTTGTTGTAGTAAGGGTCATTTAACAAGTGTTGTGCTTTCAATAACAGGATGCTCAATACTTCAGAAATGATGTTAATGATGAAAGCTAAGAGAGCAATGAAGTAAGCTCACTTTTATGATGTAAAGGAAAGCTAAACATTGAACATTCCCATGGGGAAGAAGTGTGAGTACCTATGACAATCATGACAATCATATCAATCGATCATGTCCAGTAACAGCTGCTGGAGAATTTCTCTGATGTTCAACAGAAATCTGGGATAGAAAAGTGTTTTTTCTAAGGGTGTCATTGGAAACCAGACAGATAATTTAGGTGTGCCTTTCTGAAAATAACTGAGCCCATACCTTTGAATTCAGCTTAAATTAAGCCATTTCAATCATTGATCAATAAATCAGAAAAGAATGTCAACCTGTAAAGATGAGAGCTGGATTTCCTGAACACTACAACTGCAAGAATAGTTAGGCTGCATTTTGTCCTTGACCTATAAACTAACCCACAAACTATGTTAGCATCCAAAACTGGATTTCCAGTTATGCGCACACCCATGTTAAGCTGTGAGATTGAGTGCCACCGACAAACAGCTTGATGGGATGCAAATATTAGCCTTGAATCATTAGCCTTGAGTTTGTCAAAATTTATTGCACTTTCCATTAAATAATCATGAGGAGGATTAGTTTTATGATTTTTGTCATGCCACCAGGGCACATTGAAAATATTTCGTCTCTGTGATTTTAAATTAAGCATCCCTGGAAATGCAAGTTGCATGTTGGTGACAGTTGATAAACAGTTATCACCATCATGAGAAGCCATTTTCATTAGACTTGACATCTGAGCAGGTTCTACATTCTGACCATCAATTCCCAAATAATGTAAACGAGAATGAAAAAGCACAGTTGGAACCTTATCAAGAGTTCAAAATCAGTGCACAAAAATCAGGACAAAAATTCAAACACACTAAAAAGTATCAACTGCTTTTTAAAACTTTGTGTATAAACACCATTATTCAACTCACCTATTGCCAAGAAAATGTCATTAACATTCATGGCCGTCTTTGCTGAAGTTTCCATAAATAGTAAACTGTTTTCTTCTGCATATGCTTGAGCTTCCTGTTGAAGAAAGAAATGTTTCCTTTGTCATGTTTCCTGGTTCACACAGAAAACCTTCAACATTAACACAAGATAATTGCAAATGTGAATAAAGAGTCAGTCATGAACTAATGGAATTCCTGGTTTATGATGACTAACAGAATTTAGTTCTATGCCAATTTTAGCAATGTTCCAACAATATCATGGCAGGGGACGCCAGAAATGGGCTTCACACATTGTACCATGTGGTCAATCAAACCCAGGTCTTCAGCTTGACGAGCAAACTCTTTAACCACTAGGCTTCCCTACTGGCCCTGGTTTATGACAAATGAAGTTTTTCTGATAATAAGAAAGATGAAAACATTTAACTTGCCTCATACTCCACCATTCTCTTGTTGGCCAGATCAGCTTTGTTCCCTGCCAGCGCTATCACAATGTTAGGGCTGGCTTGTCTCTGCAATTCCTTTACCCAAGTCTTTGCTCTGCCAAATGTGTCCTGAACAAGAGCAACCATTTAGTACAAGAGTATGTACAGTTTAAATCAAATGTCATGGGGGTTAAAAAAACAGAACTCGACAAGGAGCAAAAATGTCCCAAACACATTTCAGGCAAAACAAAATGGGAAAATATTTCATAATTAAAACTGACAATGAGTTAGGAGCTGAAGCATGACCTGTTAATGGATAACATCTTCCTTCGCCACAATGTTTTAGATTTTTGGTTTCTATTGGTCACATATACATTGCCATGAACTTTGATGCATAGCTTAAGTACTTTACACTCTGACAAATGTTTGGATCTTTATAACTAAACCTAACCTACTCCTGCTTAGCACATCATCAAAGAATGGTCTAACCTTCATTTCTTTAACTGAAAATGGCTCATTTATCATATTCTACTTACAGCTGGATAACAAACATAAAATCTAATTATTATGCAAATTTGTTTATCAGCAACTTACTTGATTAGTAATATCATATACAACTATGGCAGCTTGAGCTCCTCTGTAGTACATGGGTGCTAGACTGTGATATCGCTCTTGACCAGCAGTATCCCAGATCTCAAATTTCACGGTAGTATCATCTAGACATACTGTCTGGGTCAAAAAAGCAGCTGCAACAGAAAGGTACTGGTAAGCATTAGATCACCTTCAACAAGAACAACAGAAATCATTGAAATATATAAATTTTGCTAAAGAGACACTAATTTGACCCTTTCTCTTATGTCCCAATGGCCATTTCAGACAGACAGGCAGGCAATAGTGAGTACGGTTTTATGCCACTTTTAGCAATATTCCAGCAATATCATGGCACGGAACACAAGAAATCGGCTTCACACATTGTACCCATGTGAGAAATCAAACCCGGGTCTTTGGCATGACGAGCAAACTCTTTAACCACTAGGTTATACCACAGCCCCGGCAGGCAATTAATGTCAAGCTTAGTTGTTGAAAACTGCTAATTGAATTGACATCTTTAGCCTTAGGAAGAAATTTCAGGTCTCAGGCAGTAAACAAGTACCAAGATTTCCAGATTTCAATAAAAACCGTGATTCAGTGGAAATATGTTCAAATGAATAGAAACAAGGAAATTTGCACACATACCTCCTATAGTACTTTCTTGATATTCATGGAACTGTCCTTTGACAAATCGAAGAACCAAGCTGGACTTTCCAACAGCTGATTCTCCTAACAGCACCAATTTAAACTGACATATTTTTCCTTGGGTTGCCCCATTAGGCCGCTGTGCCCCGCCTCGCCCTGCCATTGTTGGACACGATGGATGCTACCTCGGCCTACTTCAGAGATTCAAGTAACAACTGCAAAAGAAAACACTAAAATAAGCAAACTGTACACACTGATGCTGTATACAAACTGCATTGAGGACTCAACAATGTCACAGGAAGGACACTTCCTCATGTGGTCAAAATTAAGTCAATATCAATGTCACCTTTTGTTAACAATTCCTGGTTATAACATTTCAATATGCTTTTTGTGTATGAATTGACTTAAGACCAAAACATTGAAATGGCCACTTTATATAATGGATAACCACTGACCTTGGCCAAATTTCCTGGCCTTGCATTCTCATTTCTCAGGGTTTTTTTAATTTATGCACTGAAAGAAAAGTCTCAACCAGAATTCATCTCTGTATGTTTCAAACATCACATGCTTGGACCTTAAGGAAACAGAATATCTCTTCCTGACACACATGCACTAGTTTTGGATTATTAGCAACTATCTTTGCAGCCAAGGATTATCAACTACTTTGCAGCCAAGAAGTTCACACACTCAGTTACAAACTTGATGGCTACAAAATGAATTCAAAGAAATATAAAGGAGGCATCTGTCTTTTAATACTGGTTCAATCAGTAAATTATTTTGGAGGATTACATGCATATTCAAAAGCAAACTATATCTACAGGCAATTCCTGAGACAGAGGGACTTCCTCAAGAGTATACCTAGGAGATATTCAAGAGGAAGTCCACACAGAAGGATTGTTCAAGAAGATGAAGGCCCTGTACAAACAATAACATGAGGTCACAAGAGGTTTACAAGTCTGATTCCAACAGGTATTGCCCATTTAAACACCAGTTTCAAAAATCAACTTCAACGTTGCAAGTTAGGATTGCATGACTTAATGATAATCTCAAATTTCACTGTAGTATCATCTAGACATACTGTCTGGGTAAAAAAAAGCAGCAGCAACAGATAGGTACTGGTAAATATTTGATCACCTTCAACAAAAAAACAACAGAAATATATACATTTTGCTAAAGAAATTTGATCTTTTATTTTATGCCCCAATGGCCATTTCAGACAGGCAGGCAATAGTGAGTATGGTTTTATGCCGCTCTTAGCAATATTCCAGCAATATCACGACAGGGGGACACAAGAAAGGGGCTTCACACACTGTACCCATGTGAAAAATCAAACCTGGGTCTTTGGTGTGATGGGCGAACACTTGAACCACCAGGCTAGCCCATAGTGTTGGGAATTGGTTGAAGTCTCACAATTGATGATTGCTTCATTACCAACGAACAATCATCGAAACAAATTGGTTAGCGTCATTTTTCAGATTTTCCTACCATGGTTGTTACTGTAGATATAAATATTGCCGATGTGACATTAAATAATAACTCACTCACTATTGTAGATATGTATAACATGATGCAACTTGCTACTTTAAGGTGATGAGTAATATATCATGAACATAAACTTGGAGTCCTCAAGAAATATTCAGTCATGACTTTTCAGTTAGTGAAGTGAGTTTTCTAAGAATTAAACAAGTTTTCAGGCCCTGACATCTTCGAAGATATGTTCCATCGTCAAGTGTTTCAAAAATAAAACAGGAGTTCCAAAATCTTTTGTGTTCGATTATGAGAAAATGTGATTGATTGCTTGGTCATTTGGTCACTTCGACCAATCTTCGATTATTTCAATTAATCGGAACACCACTACTAGCCCACCACCCCAATATTCCAGTGGCGGCCTGTAAATAATCAAGTCTTGGACACATAATTCAGTGATCAACAGCACAAGCATTGATCTACGCAATTGGGATATGATGACCTGTCAACCAAGTCAGTGAGCCTGACCACCTGATTATGACAAGCATGGGTTGCTGAAGAATAATTCTAACCCAGAATTTTGTGGGTTGAGGAAGTATAAGGACTTTCAATGTGACTCCTATCTCTGCAGCAAAGAAGGAAGGGAATCAGTTCCATGATGCAATATGCACAGATACAGGATTCCTGGAAAACCAACAGCAGTTGTTCAACACTAAACATAACCCAAAGCATATACTTAGTGTTCTTCACAAAGTTTGCTAAAATGTTTCACCTGGGACAACACTGTCCTAAGGAAATATAAATGTACTGAGTGAGTGAGTGAGTTTTACTCCGCTTTACTAGTTTTAGCAATATTCCAGCAATATCATGGCGGGGACACCAGAAATGAGCTTCACACATTGTGCCCATCTGGGGAATTGAACCTGGGTCTTCAGGGTGATGAGTGAACGCCTTAACCACTAGGCTACCCCACCACCCCATAAATGTACTGGTCCACACTGCTAACTATTGTTGAAACAAACTGACCACTACACAAGTTTTGCTTTCAAAACCCTACATGTGACCACTGACTTGCACAATTTACTCTACGGTAGGTTTTTCAGTTGTTTCTTTACACTTAAGAATAAGTTAAGTCAGTATGCCTATATCCACAAGGAAACATGGACAGTCCTGAATTTTACTGCTCTCTGGCCAGTCTTGTTACTTTTCAACCTGACATCAATCGAAATCACAACAGCCAAAGGAAAGGTCAACTTTTAAAATCGAAAACCAGATTACTTGATGTTCTCTTAAAGTAACAGGAAGAATGAATGCAGCATTTTTCTAACCAATGGTTAACCAGGTTTGGGAGTCTTAATGTCAGTTTTGTTCATTAAATAATATATCATATATCAACATTTAATTTAAATAATATATACTTCATCTGCTAACACTATAACAAAGTGCAATACCTTTCTTATTACATTCATAAGAATTAAATTCACACTCCCACTAAAAATAAAATCACTATTTCACTGAAATGTTTACATCAAAATAGATGCAGACAATGCCATATTTGCTCATACTGAAAATTTAGGAGCCTCATGGCTGATTACACATTAAGATATACATTGCAGAATATCTTTTATATTTAGAAGCAACAATTCAGGGCATTTCCCAATGTAATGGACATATGTAAATAAGCAGTATTCTGAAACATGTTTGCTCTTCAAAGTTCATCATTAGGTTCCTTTGCTCCACTCCAGAATTTTTACAGGTGTCTCACCCACAACCTACTGTATGATTCCTCATTTTGACTTTCAAGAGCTAAAGTTATGCCACATTTCAAGTTTACCATTTAATTCTTAATAACTCTAAACCTGGAAAGTGGAAGATTCCTTTCAATTACAAAATACTCACATTTTGGAATGGGAACATTTCAAAGGCATTTGCTGGGTGAATACAAAAACACATCAAAATTAGTGTTCTCAAATCACCAACACATGAAACAAATACCTTGAAGGAGAAACCTGACTATCTAGCACCCTCAGTTTCTACTAAACTATAGGTTGATGCACAGGGAGCCTATGTCTAACTGCAAAATAAGAATCTCTGCACAGACTCTGTGATTTCAATGAAACAGATGATATGTTTCATGTGAAATTATTCTTTGGTAAATGAACAGGAAAAAAGTATATATCCATCACAGCAAAGTGTTGTTTGTCACTATCAGTTCAGAGTTCAGCTAGTGTGCAGTCAAAAACAAAGGAGTCATGTTTTGATATCAACTTATTTTAACAGTAGAGACACTCACCCAAAGCATTGTGCCTTGCCTGACAGGTAGCCTTCAGGCAAGAAGTGCTTTATTTTTGTCGATTGTTTACCCGTAAGTCTGTCACTTTTTGTTTCTATTGTATGAGGAGCTGTCACAACAGAATCTTGTGACGGCTTCAGTTCAGGGTAACTGTGAAATTCTTATTAAAGGTACATTTTTGTACCTTACTGTTGATCTTGTCCTACACTAGATATTTTGAAAAGTAATTAAATACAGAGTTACAGATAAGTTTTTGGGTCATTGAGTTATGTACTCACTTGTGTTCATCTCAATTGAGTATCATAATTTTCCTTTGTGTAACCAGATAAATTGTACCCACCTCACTAAAACTCAATTGGGTATTTTGCCCTTTTCCATTAATTGCAAAAATATAATAAAGTTTAATGTTGGTTATTTATATTTCATCTGTAATATGAGAAATGATACGAAAGACTGGAAGTAGCCAAGTTCATGTGCTGAATGAAATGGAACCTCTCAATATACCCCTTTTCTCTATCCAGTAGGCAAGCTAAGATTTGACATTTCTGTGTGTATGATTGCAAGATCAAACTTACTGAGTGTTAACAAAAATTCAAGCGTACTTGAACGCAGTTTACTTAATAGGAATTCAGTTCTCACACAAATATTTGTGCAGTTTACGCAGATACACATCTTATCTGTACCTCTGTGTAAATGTAATAACATACATTATTTTGTTACAATTAAAACACAGTCTTAGGAAGCAAGACTGCGCATAAATATAATTGAGAATACAATAGAATTCTAAACAGTGATCTGATCTTAACTCAGGTACAGTTCAGGATTTGAGACACACATAAGTTTATTTTTCCCTAACCTGATGCAGCCAACATGTAAACTGCTTTAACTAGGTAGCCATAGAATCTACAATTTTTGTGCCAGTAACACAAAGACAAGGGCATATTCACTTTCATATATAATTTCAATCAACAAAACTGACTTGATTGGGCAACTATGGTCATCATTTAACACAACCAAATATCACAAACAAAAAGTCTTTATAATCAAGGTAATGTTCATTTAAATGGAGTTTTCCAAATGACAAGTGGATAAATGAAATAAAAAATCAAGTACCATTTGTTGTTGAGGGGTTTGCATGAATCAGACTCACAATGACAGTTCAAAAGTTGATGTATACGAAACCATGGGACAATAGGACAAACGAGTAATCGACACATCAACAGAGGTTGGCAATACAGTAGTTTGTTACCCACGATGAGTCATGAAATTGACATGATTTATTCAGAACTATTGAAAACATTTCCCTAAATCTGTACATTTCAAACATTAAGTTCATATAAGCAGATTCAGCCGATTCATTTATGAAACATCAAACGTTAATGAAACATACCTTGAACAATATGAATGCGTAACGCTTCATGTTTGTGACATTTTTTTCCCCATTTGTTAGTCGTCTTAGATTCACAAGTAATTTCACTTGTCCAGTGCACAACAAATCATAATATGACTATCCACTGACTAGGTTAATGCTTTGAGTTTGAGTTTTGACCAACTGGGGCCACGCATGGACAAAACAACACAAATGACATAATAAATTTGACAATCTATTCGATGTAAACATATCATGATCGAGTCGCCATTTTGAATCGGAATAGCGAGACGGACAGTCTCTTTACACGTCCAGAAGAACTTAAAAATACAACGATCGACTGATTATCTACTTACCAGTAATATATAATTAGATCAGAAATGACCACGAAGCGTTGACGAAATAATAGCGATATAGGATGATGGTGCACAGAGTAATATCGCTTTTATCTTCGCAGTTTACACCCTCCTTCCTTGAGCAGGGCTAATTTATGCGGATAGAGGATGTGTCTCCGCACAAAAATATAATTCTCATTCTTCGGTGAAAATAAACTACAATCACAGATCAATGCATGAATGTAACACACTGGTTAGTGTGCTTGTAGCAAGTTCTATGCCAAAGTGCATATAGTAGTATAACTCACCAATTTTTCATACAATCACCCGACGCGGATTGATATCAGCTGCCAGACGCACCTTGTGCTGTAAATGTACGCCCCATAGGAATGACGTCATTCGTCACAAATACAATTTATTTCAGAGTCGGAGCATCTTCGATCTTTAAATGTCAGACATTACTTTGGTTTTGCATCGAAAAGTTGGAATATTAATAAACATTATTAAACAACAAGTCGTTTATTATTTTCACAATGAGAAACCGAAAGGACCTTGACCGTGAAGGCTACATCACTGTATCACTAGTGTACGTATGCGTGCAATGTATATTCAAGTTACATATGTCATGGGACTTTGTAACTGAAGGCGCCGTAGGAGCTGAAATATGGATTTTCATGTAGTCCGAATGGTACGGGTTGAATTGAAAAATTAAAATGTCCAATCAAAACACATAAATAGTAAATGCTGTAACCCCACAAACGTTAATATAAATTAAATTCGCTACAAAATAGTGACTATATATTAATCAAATTTTGAGTTATGAACTGGTTTCATTGTGAAGATCCTATATTTATGCGTGTTTTAAAATGATTGAAATTGTAGAGTGCAAACAAATCATGCAGAGAGATTCAAGTTGTGGTTATATCCTGCGTGCTGAAACGCCCATGCATACATGGTCCTATCCGGGTTTGAGTGTCACGTTGAAATATATATGTGGTACATTGCACAATGCTATATCAGGGACATCGCGACGTAATGTAACACGGTGAGTATTATTATGGAAATATTTCATCAACATGTGGCTAATGTAATATGCAATGTGCGTAGACTGTGATATCACGTTCAAGAGAATGCAAGCTTGCATGTGTCGCGTGTTGTTGACACTATATATTTGCCTGTATTAGTTTTCGGGGGGTCACGAGCGGTCAACTATTTATAGAGTGCCACAGGACGTCACGGTGTATGGTTGAGTCCCCTCCCCGGTGAGGATCCGCTGATTTTAGGTACGAATCTGCGTGTGAGTGATTGAGTTTAGTTTTACGCCGCATTTAGCAATATTCTAGCAATATCACGGCGGGGGACGCCAGAAATAGGCTTCACACACTGAACCCGGACATTCAGCGTGACGAGCTAACGCAGTAACCAACCAGGCTACCCCACCGCCCTTTTCTGGATGACTGACTGACTGAGTGAGTTTGGTTTTACGCCGCTTTTAGCAATATTCCAGCAACATCACGGCGGGGGACACCAGGAATGGGCTTCACACATAGTACCCATGTGGGGATTTGAACCGGACATTCGGCGTGACGAGCGAACGCTTTAACCACTAGGCTACCCCACCGCCCTTTTCTGGATGACTGACTGACTGACTGACTGAGTTTGGTTTTACGCTGCTTTTAGCAATATTCCAGCAACATCACGGCGGGGGACACCAGAAATGGGCTTCACACATAGTACCCATGTGGGGATTCGAACCCGGGTCTTCGGCGTGACGAGCTAACGCTTTAACCACTAGGCTACCCCACCGCCCTTTTCTGGATGAAGTATATATGACTACTGTTATTTAGTATCTTAATAATAATTTGCTACTCATATATAGATATCACCAGTGTGTTGAAAATGGGTACCTGCAATTTTGCTCGCTGTATTTACAATTTTATGTATTTTGGATGTATTTTGATCAGACAGTCTCCCATACCACCGCCAGCCATTAAAAAAAACATAATTCTTTGAATAAAGGTTCTGTAAAATTGAGAGAGTTTGGTATTTTTTAATTTAAAATGACGCCAGAAATGGGCTTCGCACATAATGGGGAATCGAACCCGTGTCTTCTTTGAGACGGGCGAACGCGTTAACTACTAGGCTACCCCACCGTCCAGGAAAAGAAAAGAAGTTCAGGTTCACCCGATTCTCTCTTCTTACCACAGTGGATCTGGCATGTAATGCCACACTATATAAATAGCAATATGAAAGAAGCGGTCTGTCCTTAACTTCTTTTGAGTAGGATATACCATAAGAACATCCATAGTATATTTACAGGGACTTGAGGGACTAAAGCTTTAAGCGGTTTTACCAATATCCAGCAAGGTCACAGAAGGGGAACGCCAGACTTCATACACTGTACCCGTGTGCATGGGGAATCGAATCCGGGTCTTCGGCACGACGAGCGAACACTTTAACCATAAGGCTAACCCACCGCCACCGGAGCATCGAGATTCAAGCATGAAACAGGAATAAAAGATTAAAGATGGTAGTTTTGATTGGTCGAATGGTTGATTGGTTTGGTTGGTAGGTAGGTAGGTAGGTTGGTAGGTTGATTGATTGATTAACTCAGCACTCAGCAACAACCCAGCTATATGGCGGCGGTCTGTAAATAATCGAGTCTGAACCAGACAATCCGGTGATCAACAGCGTAAGCATCGATCTACGCAATCGGGATACGATGACATGTGTCAACCAAGTCAGTGATCCTGACCACCCGATCCCGTTAGTCGCCTTTTACGACAAGCATGGGTTACTGAAGATCAATTCTAACCCGGATCATTACAGGTCGGTAGTTTAGAGCTTCTTTATATATTGGTGTTGTCTTTATAAAATTTTACATAATCTCAAGTAACCCTTTCTTATGTTACGTCAATCCAGCAGAAATATTTAATCAACTGGCATACTGTCTAACGTATGTACTTAATGTGTCTGAATCCTCGGTGTTGATTGCACGCTGCAGAAAATATATCGTAGTGATATAAACAATATTGGTTGTTTGCCTCGGACATTCTCAGTTGAATAAATATCTCTCAACTGTTACCCAATATGTTGTTTGAGGTGAACATTGTTCTTCTCGCAAGCTTGGGATGCATGGCAGCTGCGTTAAACAATGGACCCCAGTTCTTATTAAAACAATTCGAGTTATCAGCCTTATAATGATTACAGGATACATTGCCTGACACCAAGGCTTTTATGTTCCACTATAATTACATTCAAATGCTCATTCGTGGTTATTATGGAGAGCGGAAGGTCGCGGGTTCGATCCCCGACCGCGTCATACCAAAGACGTTAAAATATGGCACTTGTTCCCTTACTGGCGCTCGGCGTTAATGGGTACAACAAGGCCTGTACCGTCAGTATAATGTGTCTGAGTGGGGTATTCAAGCTTAACTGCAGCATGGTATCTAAGTGTGGCTAGCACTATAATACCTGTTTACGTCTGGGCTAGTACAAGCAGCCACATGCACATATATACACGCATGCACGTCGTCATGTGAGCGAAACCCCACTTCACCTCACCTTACTTATGATTTAGTGTGCAAGCTACACTCTAGACAGCCCTCTCTTCTAATGTAACCCACGTAGTTTTAGTGCCCAACACTGAACAACATGCTAAGTTTTGTCGATATAGCAATCCTCGTATTTCTATGACCGAAGAGGGGCGGTGGTTTAAGCGTTCGCTCGTTCGATTCCCAACATGGGTACAATGGTGTCCCCCGACGTGATATTGCTGGAATATTGCTAAAAGCAGCGTAAAGCTAAACTCACTCACTCTATGAACGAAAAAGCGCTTCAACATTCACAGGAGCTTATGAATCGTTGGCTTAATCTGAACCTGGTCATACTAGATTTTAAAGGCACTGAAATGCTTGTCAAACATGTCCAACCTTTACGATTATTATATACGCCAGAAAATACATACAAATGTTAGGGCAAAATATGAAATATTCTAGCGACCTGCGTTGAAAGAGTAAATCTGGTGGCTAATTATACATACATTTCAAACGGTTGTCAAATTGAAACCGGACAACACTTCCGTTTCCTAGCATGTGTAGCTGCATGAAACATTGTACTGACATTTTGAAACTAATGTATCAACGACGCTGGTAAGTTTATGAATTATGTGCAGAAAACATAACCTAACAATGATACCTATCAACCGTACACACGGGCTTTAATGTGTCTGCAAGTGCATTATATTGAAAATTCTGACATTTCTGTTTGAGCAGTTGGGAAATCTAGCATGTTATCTCTGAATGTGGGCTGGTATATTGATGTCACCATGCCCCCTAACGTTCACGTAGTCTCATACATCTAGTTTTATCTAGCACACTCCAGAACACTAGTGACACCGGTTTTTTGGGGGGAATAGTTTTATCACTATATTTGAGACACATAGCTGCTTTTAAAAATATCAGTTTAAAATAATTGTAACTTTGATGTAGCAAACATTCCAGAAGTCAAACGTTGAGCCTGGGGCTCGATACTGAAACGTTTGTTTCGAAAAAAAGCCCCAATATATGAAATACTATAATATAATATGTCTCAGATTAGAATAGGTAATGTCATATCAGGGGCGGATCCTGGAATTTGGAGAGAGAAAAAAGGGGGTGGGGAGGTGTGCACATGAATACGTTCAAAGGTTAGGGAGAATCGTCCTCAGGGAAAATTTTCTGGGTACGGGGGATTCCACCCCTGCATATATATATTAAAACAAAATAATCTCATTTGCATGCAGTATCTTCAACAGGAAAGAAGTACCGATATATATTGTAGATCCGATCGTATATTTATGTCATCTGTCTTTGCGACACACCATTATATATATAAATAAATCTCATCGCTTATACTAGTATTCAATTCCGATGGGGTAGCCCCTGGTGGTTAAACCGTTCCGTCGCCATTTCCGCAAAGCCGGGTTCGATTCTACTGATGGAAACAACGTATAAAACCCATTTCTGTTGAAAGGCGGTGAGGTAGCCTCATAAAGCATCCGCTCGTCACGCTGAAGACTCCGGTTCGATTCCCCACATGGGTACAATGTGAGAAGCCCATTTCTTGTGTCCCCCGCCGTGATGTTGCTGGTATATTGCTAAAAGCGGCGTAAAACCGTACTCACTCACTCATTTACGGTGACTTACTGGTATACAGTTAAATCCAACTCATTGACTCACTCATAACTAACTATCCTGCAACTAACAGGATCCTATATAAACAGAATAAGTGAGAGAAACAGAATGAACCTACATCTGACCACCATATCCAGTATACATTATCCTCATTCTATTATGATAGATACCTTGGACATATTCGCCGCCTTGGATTATATGATCTCTGATCTTACTCACAGGCGCGTAGCAAGCCAATTTTTTCGTGTAAGCCCGATAGGTTGCAAAACGTTATATTTAGATAGTATTGAGGGCTTGCCCAACTGTTTCAGCAACACTCATGTGTAAACCCGGTATTTTTATAAGGGTAGCTACGCCCCTGGCTCAGGTTAACTTAAATGGACGTGTCCACGTTGTAGGGATCGACCTCTAAATAAATGTCAGGCGTATTTCATTGGTTGATGACACTTAATTTATTCATTATCATATAGTTCTTTTAAATAATTATATGTAATTATACAATACCGCTTTGACTATAGCTCGAGACTACAGGTACCCGTGAAGATCCGGGTTAGATGATTGGTCTTCAGTGACATGCTTTTCGTAATAGCTAGGCGACTAACGGGATCGGGTGGGTCAGACTCGCTGATCTGGTTGACACATGTACTCGTATCCCAACTGCGTAAATCGATGCTCATGCATAGAATGGATTGTCTTGTTCAGACTCGATAATTTACAGACTGCCGCCAAATAGTTTGAATGATATTGCCGACTGTGGCGTTAATAAACAAACAAGCAAGATGTATTTTAGGTTTGCAGTTGTACGTTTTGGAGAGAATTGTATGTCTGTAAAACTGGTTGTGAACAGGTTATACACACCTAATCTCGATTATAGACATTAAATGCCAAAATCTCAACCCTGATTGTGCTTTATTCGTGGTTGTGAAAATGCACGTACATATTATGTCCTCAAGGCGAGCCCCCGAAATGGTGGTTGATGTATACTAGGCGACTGTCTCAGGAGCGATGCGATAACAGTTTGACTTGGCTTCTGTCTACGTAGACTGAAATGGAGTGTACTTGCGACGCGTATCAACAATGGCACCAGTCTATACAACAATCACGTGGTTGCGCTTCACGATGTTACCCTTTGAAACGTATGGTATAAACTGGTTCACTGACCCAATGTTTTGTGTCAGCCAACAGACTGCGCACATTTTGTGTACTTTACGCAACAGAGACAGGAGACTAGTCTAATGAACAACATGATATCGGTAGTCACTGATTAATATAATTAACTGATTAATATAATTATTCGTATACAACTGTGATGCATACCACTAAGTGAAAAATGTGTAGCAAATAAGTAAAGTTTGACTAGTCTCGCAAAATCTCGTTTATTTGAGAATCGGAACAAGGAAACGTCCTTCACCTTGCAACTGTTGCTAGGATCACCAAAACAATAGGTTGCTTCTTTGCATCTTTTCGCCGACACACTTGTGTCTTATGTCAGTTTGGGCCTCTGATCGTGTATAACTATTTCGCCGTGTATTATTATGCGCAAAGGAGAGTTCATGTCTGGTAGACTGAAGCAGTTATTCTATTAAGCGTTCATTGAAAGCGACTTATTACAGTTTTACTGATCGCCAGCATGGCCTCCACAACAGCAGAAGCTTCTGTCCGTTTTCCAGAGATACAGACACGGAGTATATATGCTGGAAAATACAAAGATTGGACCCCCCAGTATCGTGCGGTGAGTTTCCCTGATTTTCTTACAGTTTACTGGAAATATTCAGGTACTGATACAGAATATCTGAATAATATTCTTATACACGAATCAGCCAAGTCACGGTTCTATGATCTGGTAGTCAATTTCAGCATTTGAAAGATAGCCTGCCAGTAAAATACGTAAGCAACAAAAGGTTACGGAAAGAGTTCCTTCCGTTCCCACAACCATAAACCTAACCCTAAACCTAACTTAAATTTTGGACTTTTAGTCATTTTTGTGAGTTCTTTAGTATATGTTGTGTTAAGTTTTGTTAATAATTTTAGTATATATTCATTTATAAATATTATTTGAGATGGGGGAACGGGAGGAACTCTTACCGCTTGGCCCCAACAACAGTTTGAAGAAAATACTTTTGTAAGAAAATGCTTTGAAAAAAATATGTGGTCTGATCATAGGTTTTTGGACGGCAATGCTCACTCGGACTATAACAGGGTGTTGCATCACAGAGACATCTTAGTCAATAATACATCAACTGCTGACATGTTATAATCGTTACCCAATATTTGTGATATGTATCATATTTTGTTGCAGCCCTAATATATACACAGAACAATAATCTTTTATTGTCTTGCAGGCTGGGAAGCTGACAGCAACAGGAGACACTACAGAACTATGTCTGAAACCATCAGATGACAGAGTAAGTTCAGTCAAAATATGTTACACGATTAAGGTCCAAAAAGGCCTGATTCACCAAAATCGTGCTTTCTGACATAAGTGGTTCACCTGAGTGTTAAACATCTAAGACCTCCATCACTTTGAGCTTTTCTCCCAGATACTGCTGTGTGTGTGTGATGTGAAATTTGGGTTTTACGTCGTGCTTGAGAAGATTTGCTCATATGACGACGTGCATGCATGTGTATGTGTATGTGCGGCTGCTTGTACTAGCCCAGACTTAAGCTGGTTTTAAAGTGCTAGCCCACTGAGATACCATGCCGCAGTGAAGCATGAATACCCAACTCAGACACATTATACTGACTCCGAGCCGACCAGTCCTTGATGTACCCATTAATGCCGAGCGCCAGGCAGGGACCAACAGGTACCATATTTTAACGTCTTTTGGTATGACGCGGTCGGGGATCGAACCCGCGACCTTCCGCTCTCGAGGCGGACGCTCTAACCACTACACCACGGAGGCGGTCAGATACTGCTGACTTGAAATGATGTACTATTCAAAGTGGGATCAATCCAAAGTCACTCTCACACCTTTGCAAAGAGTATATTCAATTTACGTTCATATCAGCTGACAACCCACCTAACAACTAACCTACATCCTCTTCAGAAATCCCATCTTCCATAAAGTGTAAACAAAACATTTACTGAATAAATAGTGATGTTTTATATAAATTCAAAAACCAAACATCATTGATCAGTTTTTATTAATCTTGTCATGTTTTGTTACCACTTTTGTACGTGAGTCACTGGATCTTGCAATGTTCGAAATATTCCACCTGTAAAACTTTGTACTGGTGCTTGTTCAAGAAGAGAAATGGTCTTCAGCAACCCATGCTTGTTGTTAGAGTTGACTAACAGGATCGGGTGGTCAGGCTCGCTGACTTGGCTGATACATGTCATTGTATCTCATTTGCGTAGGCAGATGCTCGTGCTGTTGATCAATGGATTATTTACAGACCACTGCCTCATAACTGTAATGTTGCTGAGTGCTGCATAAACAACAAACAATCAATGACACAATAACTTTTTAAAAAGCCTATAATATTGTAGCATATTCTCTCATTTATTATATATTTTCTGCCATTATAGCCAGAAAGTGCAGATGTCATCAGGCGTTTCCGTGCCAGTGTGCAACCTGCTGCAGGTGCAATGCGAGTGTTCTATGGTAGAGCACGGGACCCTCATCGACGATGGGCAGGAGAGATGACCCATGGTGTCAGTACACGCCCTTCTTTTACATCTGGAGAACTTGTTAATCCACATCCGAAAACATTATTCCAACAACGCCTTTCCGATAGGAAAGAGAATATCTACGCAACACACATCCGTGCTCCACTCGGAGTATCACATGATCAGAGGCCTGGACTTCCGGCAAGAATAAATTCCCGCACTTTTACATTCGGAATCCCAACGGAACTGGGTGAGTTATGGTCACTGTAAAGTCACTTTATGACTTTTCATTCAGTTTCATTCTCAAAAGGTGGGACGTATATTTCAGCTCACCTAACTTAACTGTTTTGCCCTCACCAGTCTTCGAGGCACAAGATACTGCCTCTTTGTTTAAATGGTTACAGTAATGGTAAATGTTCTCTCCCCGATACTCCCATTTCATTCATAAAATCTTTTTTTGCATGAAATGGTTATTATCAACAACTTTTAACTCCATAGTAATTGCAATAGCTAAATGAAATTGAGATCTGTTGGTCAGTATAACAGAACTCACAATAAAATTATTGCCTCTGTTCAGTTATAAAATTACTTCTAAAAATAACTTGAAATAGTATGCCATTCAATATTTTGCCATTCCTATTCATGAACCTAGTGCTAACATCTACACAGTGACCATCATAATTGCTGATTTCTGCATGTGCATGCATCCAGTAGGGAAACCATTTGATTTTCCTCCAGCCCCAAAAAGTTAACAGAACAAAATTTCAGTCCCGATGTCATATTTCCAACGGCATTCTGAAACCTTATTGTTACTGGAGAACTATATTCTTGACTGGAATCTCAAGGGCTTGAATCTGTATTCTAATATGTTTTGCTAAATGATCAAAGGCATTTACATCTCACTGAATTGCCATCACTATGCCGTTCTAGTCTTGCCCCTCATAATCAATCGTATCCTAAATGGTAACCAATGTCACAGTTCACCTCAGTTCTCATTGCTAATAGTACAGTCTCCCACAGTGCAACTAACTTGGGAGTAAATATGCTATGTCCATATTGTCCCACGTGGTTTATGAGAATCACATGAAAAGAGAAGATGTCTAACTTGAAAACATGAGCCGTATTGAAACTTTTATAATTAGGTAATATTTTTCTTAACCTAAGGGCAAAACACATCAATAGAAAAGCATGTCAGTTAGCCCTGAACGAGGATTGTTAATTAAGTCACCAAGAACATTGTTTTTTTCTTTAGTTTTGTGCCTAACATTAATCATTGGTAAGTATTAAACATGGTATCTTAGAAAAGAAATAAGTCAGCTCTACCCAATGTATAGTGTAATAAATTGCAAGCGTCCTTGTGCCTTAACTGTATATCTTACTTAAGATTCTCATCAATTGAGTTAAATTCTTTTATTACAGATATCGGTGCCGGAGGCTTGATAAACCCCAACAAGACTTATGAAGAAGTAGAGAAAGAAAACACAGTTGGTCATGATCTGTACATCAAAACCCATGCTGACTTTGAGGTTGGAGAAAGAGTACAGCGATGTTACACAGCTCCAAGCTTCAACTCGAAGAACAGATTTGGAATACCAACGCCTCATGCCAATGACGGGCGTCACGTAAGGCAGACACTGAAGTGGCTCCATGAAACAGAGTCGGAGAAAGCGTCACAGGTCGTGTCCAAAAGAGTGGATGATTTCCGTGAGAGGACACAGCCTCAGTTGGGAAAGGTCCATGACCCGTAAGTTATTAGTGTCTTAGAGTGAGTGAGTTGGGTTTTATGCCGCACTCAGCAATATTCCAGCTATACAGTGGCGATCTGTAAATAATCTTGTCGGGATCAGACAATCCAGTGATCAACAGAATTAGCATCGATATACACAACTGGGATACGATGACAATTGTGTCAACTAAGTCAGCGAGCCTGACCACCCGATCCTGTTAGTTGCCTCTTATGACAAGCATGGGTTACCGAAGATCAGTTCGAACCCGGATCTTCATGCTTAGTATCTTAGAATACAGAGTGCATAGCAAGCTTCAATGATGTATGTACCACAAGAGCAGCAATTTGATATTAGTACAAAAACACAATGTAACACAATGACAAACAGAAGGAGTACGCTTTGTCTCATGGGATACAAATTAATATGATCTGTTTATAGTGTTTGAATCACAGTTTTTTTTCTTCTTTTTTTTTCTTTTATTATTGATGTTGAAAAAAATATGTTGTTGAGATAAGCCATAATTTTGTTCCTGTACCTGAAATATTAAGAACCCCATTCAGGGGCTCTTGTCAGATAAATCTGAAGTGAGTCCTTTAGAAGCCTACCATAGCCTACCATCATAGCTTGAAATTAGTTCCATTCTCTCTACAAAAATCTTGCAATTCCATTGGTTAATCCTCTACCATGAGTTGAAATAATACATTTGAATGTGGACCCCCAAATCACTTGACTGACACTGTTACCTTATGAATGTTGACATGTCTGCTTGGAAAAACAAGATGACGTCTGCTGCCTATGATATTATATTTCACAGTTGACAGGGAACAGTTACAACTTCATAAACTTGAAAGTTCATTTTGGCATAACAAAACAAACGATTATTCTTAAAGGGCAAGTGTACACGAAAATTAACCTTTTTGTCTTGCACGTTTTCTTCATAAAAAGTGTTTATCAAGTCATTTTATATCCAAACCCGTACATAAATCAGAAGTAACTAATTTATTATTTGCGTTATATCAATTCATATTTTCAACATTTACCAAGAGTTCTATGTCCACAATAAACACACCATGGCTTATGTCCCTTGGAAATGACGTCATTGGTGCCCAAACGATAAACGAATGACGTCGTCAGACCTTATTAGACCCATTTCACGTGGTGCAGGTATAGGTGTGGTTCTTGTGTCTCGATGCGCAGGCTACTGTTTTAATCCACCTGTTGCTTGGCCGCCAGCTTGCTATGTGGTCAGTTCTACACTGTAATGGCGTTGCAGTTTGAAAAGCATTATACATTGTACTAAGAGTGTTACCACGTAACCAAATTGTATAACATATACAACCTGAGTCGGTCGATCTTTCCAACAGTACCTTTTTCATGAAACCTATAAAGCGTAGATGCACTACATCTTGCTTGCCATCGGTGAATATGCCGGCATTCTACGTTTGTTACTAAAGTTCTTACATAAATCGTACGATATGTCACTCCTCCACCTAATTCACTTTTATATCGATAGTACTCTACATCACGCAGATAAATGCAATTTGCAGTTTTGAACACTGTTTGAAATTCGTTTTTCTATGATAGCATCCGCTGATTGTAGATAAAATTTACTGAAAATTACATGCATCGTAAATCTCGCCAGTTTTGACACATTACTAAATCAACGATTCACTGCGTTTTCGCGTAATTTATGGTAAAATGTCAAATTTTACTGGGAGTATTGAATTTAAAAGAAAAGATGTATCATTGTGATCAGCAGTAGTTTTGTTGTTGTATGATCGAATCACCAATGCTCGTTCTGAAACATTATCAATGAACCGAGAATCGCTGAGAATGTTTTGGAAAATGCATAAGCGATCAAAGTGAAGTTTCAGCCATATTACATAGTGTTTATAAAATCACGTCACATGTATGTCGGTTATGTTTAGATCCATAAAATTCAACACCATCTTCCTTACATGAATCCTGAATTCCTCATACAGTTCAAAATAAACTGACAAATGGACTTTGTCACCAATACGAAGTGTTTCAGTGAAATCTAACGAAATATATCGAGGATATGAGTTGCCGCGCTGTGAAAGAATACTTGTTTGAAATGTATACAAAGCCAATCTCAGATTTTACACTGTGTATCCGTTAAGCCTACTTGTTGCATACAATTGCTCATTAGTTTTAGAGCATGCATTGGAAAGGTATCGTAGCAAGCGATAGTTAAATAAAACAGGTGTATGCCAATGATTTTCTATATTCATCACAACATATTATAGTTTTGAAAGCATGGCGCCATAACTGGCGCTTAAACTCACGCACTGCGATGAGGGTACTTTTCTTAATTTCTGACTATTTCCCTTGGTCACAATGAAAACAAAAAGAAATTAACAACCAGCAGACTGTCAGAAGTTTGGGACTACTTACATGTCACATTTATGCATATACGTTGCTTGAAACAACGAAAATGTCCTTCGAAACTTCGTGTCAGTGAACACGCCATTTTGCAAAAGTCACTTCCGATAGTGATGTCATCACGGACGTCAACATTGTTATACATATTTGGTATTTTCATTGGCGAGGTTAGAATGCGAAATCAATCCGTCCTGCTGCTTACAGTTTCTGTTCTTATGCTTCTTCCATTATTTTCACGAACTTTTTCCGTGATTAATATCAGTATTATTATCTTTTGATTTGGGACTAGACAGGAGACCAGTTTAAATTCAAGTGGCACCAATTACGTCATAATCAAAGGGCGGTAACTCTGGCCTGTTTAGCTCGGCAAACAAATACCTCATATTGGCATAACATTTCAGCACTTACTTTGAGGGTTATACTTACGTTGTAAGAAAAATGAGTGTATATTTTCAAACATTGGTATTAACTTATTAAAACAGTTCACTTTGATTCACATAAGAATAAATGTGATTTATTCGTGTACACTTGCCCTTTAAGGTCACTATAAAGCAAAAACAAGGATCAATGGACTCCATTCCTTCATCAAGACTATCCCAGACTCTGATCTCACAGTGATCTTTGATTTTGATCTGTGATATTGTTTGTACTATTTGTAGCTGTTACTTTATGTAGTTAATTCTTTCTAACAAAGCATTTGACAACTTAATGTTGAAGTTATGCAATGTTCAGCAGAGGCCCAGATAAGCCGCGTATCCGGGTAAAATACGCATAGAAAATTTCAAATTACGCATTGAAAAATAATTGTTGCGTACCAATTACTCATCGAAAATGTTAGATACGCAAAAGGTTTAAAACAAATGCATTCAGAATATATTTATAAAAATTGCTTGTGTAATGAAAATGACATCGATTGCTATCAAGTTGTACTGTTAGTATAGCACAAGTGTTGTACTGATAGTATAGGATGAGTGATTTATTTATGAAATCATTTCCATTATATTTAAGTTGGTTTTGATATGTATGACATAAGGCAGAACATACCTGCTTAGTAAACTTACTCAATGACATAATACTTAGGTGAGTAAAATGACTGAAATACGCACATATTTGAAAGCAGTGGGTAACGGAAAATGAAATACCCACTCAACATTAAAAATACCCACTCCAAAAAAATACAGTGGGTACAGTACCCACATGAGCTAAATCTTATCTGGAGCTCTGGTTCAGATTCACAAATAGCTATTTTGACATTTCCTCTAAAAAGTAGAGTGAGTGATTTTGGGTTTTAGGCCACTTTTAGCAGTATCCCAGCAATATCACGGCGGGGGACACCAGAAATGGGCTTCACACATTGTGCCCATATGAGGAATTGAACCCGGGTCCTCGGCATGACGAGCAAACGCTTTAACCACTAGACTACCACACTGTCCCCTAAGAAGTAGAAACAACCTAGTAATATACGTCGTAATATTGTTCTTCATATGTCTAATATTGTTCCTGTTTCACACCCCATTGGGAAATAGCAGGAACGTTTTTCCCTGTTGTGCTTCTTTATTTCTCATTAAATTATCATTGTGTCCAAATACATTTCAGGATCAAAGACACACTGAAAGTGCCGCCAGACCACACATTTGGCATCCTGCTGAAGCCAGATGAGTATGGCGCTGGTGACCTGATACACAACCGTGCCCCTGGGTCATACCTGCGGGGCAGCGACCGCCAGCAGGGCATAGTTGCAGCAACTAGGCATCAGCTCAAGAAGATGAACTACCACAACTTCAACGATCTACTTCACGCTTTTAAATTCTATGATAAGGTGAGTTTCAAGGTCATCATTAATTATACATGGAAGGCTTCCAGACCTTCATTATCACATGACTTAATCATGTTGTATGCTCTCCAAGAACAAAGTATGATTATTAACTACTAACAGATGTTTCCAGTGACAAAATTGTCAACCTAAATTTTTTATCCCTGAAAATATATTTTATTCATGTGTGATGCTCGAGGATCACTCACATATAATGAAACTGTGCAACCTACAGTCGAGTACCGTTGTCTCGATATTCATGGGACCAAGAAAAATATCGAGTTATCCGAGCTTCGAGACATGATGGACCAACCAGGGCATATCATCACATATCACTATGAAAGAAAACAAAACGCTTCTCAGTATGTTTGGATTTGAAATTATCATCCGTTATCAGTAGTGTTTATTCGTAACAGTGAGTACTTCCTAATTAATTCCTTCTAAATTAATCCTAATTAAATAACAAAAAAGTGACACCTTCAACTCAATTAACCCTAATTAGTTTACACTACCGCATCCCTTTGATTCATGCCGCAACGTGTGTAAACATTTGGAAACAACCTCAGTTCAGAGGGATACTTGCCCACGAAAGGTAGGTGAATATCGAGTTTCTCTGCAAATATCGAGTTAAAAGGTAATTTTGCTTGTTAGCACCATGAAATTATATCGAGATATCCGAAATATCGAGACATCCGTATCGAGTTAAAAGAGCTTGAATAATGATAAATTATAAAGGATTTTGCCGGGACCGAGATGTTCAATTATATCGAGACAACCGAGATATCGAGTTATCAGAGTTGGACACAACAGTGCTCGACTGTACTTGAATATGATGAACTGATAAGGCGATTTGGAATTTTTCTTCTAGTTGTGATACACTTCTATTTGTGCATGAGTGAGTGAGTGAGTTCAATTTTACACCATTTTTAGCAATATTCCAGCAATATCACAGCAGGGGACAACACCCCAGATAGCATTCGGACATTGGCCCAACGTTGGCAATGTCGGCAAAACCATTGCCAACGTTGGGCAACGTCTGAATGCTATCTGGGACAAATGTGCTGCACACATTGTGCACATGTGGGGAATCAAACCCGGGTCTTTGGCGTGACAAGCGAACACTTTAACCCCTGGGCTACCCCACCGCCCCTATTTGTGCAGGAGTGCATTCTCATGTGTCATTAGAAGTGTCACAATGGATTTCTTGCTGTGTCCATGTCACTTTGACAAACAAGGTTAAAGTCCTACACAGTGCCTACAATAGTATAGATTGATCTCACCAGTGCCTTGTGAACACAGTGACAGATACTGTTCTTTATAGGGGACAGAGATGAATGGAAGTTGCCATAAGATGTCATTTGTCATAATAATATGATTATTTATAAAGGGATTGAGGTCTTCTTTGTGTCAAGTCGTTCACTATCTGTAAGGTATTGTTACTAAGCGTTCCCATCTGTGTAATGCATTGTGCAAAGCGTTCCCCTCTGTGTAAGGTATTGTGCAAGGCGCTCCCCACTGTGTAAGCTTTTGTACAAGGAGTTCCCCCATGTAAGGTATGGTACAAGGAGTTCCCCCATGTGAAGTATTGTACAAGGAGCTCCCCCATGTAAGGTATTGTACAAAGAGTACCCCACTGTGTAAGGTATTGTACAAGGAGCTCCCCCATGTAAGGTATTGTACAAGGTGTTCCCCCATGTAAGGTATTGTACAAGGCCTTCCCCACTGTGTAAGGTATTGTACAAGGAGCTCCCCCATGTAAGGTATTGAACAAGGAGTTCCCCCATGTAAGGTATTGTACAAAGAGTTCCCCACCGTGTAAGGTATTGTACAAAGAGTTCCCCCATGTAAGGTATTGTACAAGGAGCTCCCCTATGTAAGGTATTGTACAAGGAGTTCCCCCTTGTAAGGTATTGTACAAGGTGTTCCCCCATGTAAGGTATTGTACAAGGCCTTCCCCACTGTGTAAGGTATTGTACAAGGAGCTCCCCCATGTAAGGTATTGAACAAGGAGTTCCCCCATGTAAGGTATTGTACAAAGAGTTCCCCACCGTGTAAGGTATTGTACAAAGAGTTACCCCATGTAAGGTATTGTACAAGGAGCTCCCCTATGTAAGGTATTGTACAAGGAGTTCCCCCATGTAAGGTATTGTACAAGGAGCTCCCCACTGTGTAAGGTATTGTACAAGGAGTTCCCCCTTGTAAGGTATTGTACAAGGAGCTCCCCCATGTAAGGTATTGTACAAGGCGTTTCCCCATGTAAGGTATTGTACAAGGTGCTCCCCACTGTGTAAGGTATTGTACAAGAAGTTCCCCCATGTAAGGTATTGTACAAGGAGCTCCCCTATGTAAGGTATTGTACAAGGAGTTCCCCCATGTAAGGTATTGTACAAGGAGTTCCCCCATATAAGGTATTGTACAAGGAATTCCCCCCATGTAAGGTATTGTACAAGGAGTTCCCCCATGTAAGGTATTGTACAAGGAGTTCCCCCATATAAGGTATTGTACAAGGAGTTCCCCCATGTAAGGTATTTTACCAGGAGTTTCCCTCTGTGTAAGGTATTGTGCAAGGAGTTTCCCTCTGTGTAAGGTATTGTGCAAGGCGCTCCCCACTGTACGGCGCTCCCCACTGTGTAAGCTTTTGTACAAGCTGTTCCCCTCTGTGTAAGGTATTGTACAAAGAGCTCCCCACTGTGTAAGGTATTGTACAAGGAGTTCCCCCATGTAAGGTATTGTACAAGGCGTTCCCCACTGTGTAAGGTATTGTACAAGGAGTTCCCCCATGTAAGGTATTGTACAAGGAGTTCCCCCATGTAAGGTATTGTACAAGCTGTTCCCCCATGTAAGGTATTGTACAAGGCCTTCCCCACTGTGTAAGGTATTGTACAAGGAGCTCCCCCATGTGAGGTATTGAACAAGGAGTTCCCCCATGTAAGGTATTGTACAAGGAGTTCCCCACTGTGTAAGGTATTGTACAAGGGACTCCCCCATGTAAGGTATTGTACAAGGAGTTCCCCCATGTAAGGTATTGTACAAAGAGTTCCCCACCGTGTAAGGTATTGTACAAGGAGTTCCCCCATGTAAGGTATTGTACAAGGTGCCCCCCTATGTAAGGTATTGTACAAGGAGTTGCCCACTGTGTAAGGTATTGTACAAGGAGTTTCCCCATGTAAGGTATTGTACAAGGAGCTCCCCTATGTAAGGTATTGTACAAGGAGTTCCCCCATGTAAGGTATTGTTACTGTACAAGATGTTCGCCCTGTCTGATTATACAAGATGTTCCCCCATGTCAAGTGACTCGCAGTACAAGATGTCCCCCCCAACCCCTTGTGTAAGTGACTGTACTGTTCCTCTATGTAAGTGACAATATCCTCCCCCTTGTGTCTGTACAATGTGTTCCCCCTCATGTGACAGTATAAGGTCTTATCCCCTCATGTGACAGTACAAGATCTTCCCCCCATGTGATGGTACAATATCTTCCCCCCATGTGACGGTACAAGATCTTCCCCCCATGTGATGGTACAAGATCTTCCCCCCTTGTGACAGTACGAGATGTTCACCCCCCATCCCATGTGACAGTATAAGATGTTCCCTCTGTGTGTAAGTGACCATACAAGATGTTCCCCTGTGTTAGTGAGTGTAAAAGATGTTCCCCTGTATAAGCAACTGTACAAGATGTTCCCCTCATATAGGCAACTGTACAAGATGTTCCCCTTTAAAGTAAGTGTACAATGCTACAGGACCAGTCAGGGAAGATCAACATGGAGGAGCTGCGAGAGGCCTGCTTCCAGTTCAACCTGCCAGTAGAGCCGGAGCTGCTTGAGCAACTCATGGACACCTGTGATGTCAACAGGGATGGTCAGATTGACTACCTGGAATTTTCCAACTTCCTCAACTGGAAAGACAAGATGGACTCAGGATATGGAGAGAAGACAGGTAAAGTTTACACTGTGTTGGAACATGATTTGTACATAATAATTTGAAAATACATGTAATGCACTTTCTTACAAGTTTGGTCAATTGTTGCTGAAAACTGCAATCTGAAGATATAAGAATGAATGGTTTGTAACAATTAAGCTACAAAAATCATACACGTTTCAAGTAACAATGAATTAGTAGGTCATAATTTGAAAAATAGAAAACAAAACTAATGTGGCCTGTTTGATGATGGATACATGGAGAGCCCGAAGCTAGAAAACCCATGAAGATTCGGGTTAGAATTGATGTTCAGTAACCCATGCTTGTCGTAAGAGGCGACTCAGACTTGGTTGACACATGTCAGCGTATCCCATTTGTGTAGGTCGATGCTCATGCTGTTGATCACTGGATTGTCTGGTCCAGACGTGATTATTTACAGACCGCCGCCATATAACTGGAATATTGCTGAGTGTGGCGTAAAACTAAACTCACACACTCATTCACTCTGATATACATTTTATTTAATGTTTTTCTGATAAATATAAAAAAGTGTGCTGTCCCAATCTCAAATGTAGTTTTTTGGAATGGCATCGCATTAATTAAAGTCCAAATGTAACAACAGATAATTGTCTACATTGAAACAGTGATGTCACGTCACATGTCTGATGGCATCTTCACAAACAATGAAACATCTCATCGGGCATCAAGTAGCCAATCAGCATGAAGCAGAAATTTTGATTACCGATAATATTTGACTGCTTTGATTGGCATTCTAGAAAATGAGGAGATGAAGAATGAGGACAATTTTTATGGATATACAACTTCTTTATTCTCTATAGGCGACGTTGGACATAGGTTCACTTGCTTGACAGCGACATTAGAATCTATGTCGAAAGGTCGCCTATACAGAATAAAGACGTATATCCATAAAAATTGTCCTCATTCTTGATAATATTTGCACAAATGTTGTTTGTTGTTATGGGTAACATATAGTCAGAACATTATTTTTGATTGAAGGTTCTGCCAGGAAATCAAGCTTCTTTTCTATAACCATAAAATAATAATATTATTATATAATAATAGTATATTATCATACTTCATATGGTCATACGTAAGACTCTCTATCTCTATTTTTCTGGTAAGTTTTTGAAAAATTAGTGAAGAATTTAACTTACAAAATATGTAGAAATTGACTAACAAATTCAAGTTAGATGTGCTATGAGTTTTGATCATTGCTAGTTGTTAAAACCTTCGTACAAGGAAGTAATTAGAACATGACTGAAACAGCAGATTACATGCTCAGAAGCATTGACTTGTGCAAACTAGAAAACATGAGTAATGAGTTTGTGTTAAAAGAAGATATAAAAATCCAGATAATTATATGACGTGATACTGAACACGTTTCCAATGATTATCATGATTAGATATCTTTTTTTAGATATTTGGAGAAAGAATACTCTCAGATTTTACATCCCATTCCACACTCTGCTCATCTTACACCAGCCCACCACCCACACCTCTTGAGTAGATATAGGGGGTAGGGTAGCCTAGTGGTTAAAGCGCTCACTTGTCAGGCTGAAGACCTGGGTTCAATTCCCCCCATGGTTATAATGTATGAAGCCCATTTCCGGTTTCCCCTGCCGTGATGTTGCTGGAATATTGCTAATAGCGGCATAATACCACGCTCACTCACTTTTGAGTATATGCTGATATTCTACCACTGCTGTGGTTATTTCTCGTCAGAAAACAAATTTTCATGATCAGTATTTTCACAACACAAGCTGTCATCTGTATTATGAACATATGGTGGTATCTTCCTGCAATCAATCAATGATAACAATACACGACATGTTGTCTCTCCATCAACTACACGTGACGGTAACATTGATTCGTCAGTTGGAGCTAGCTGATACAGAATCATGATGGAGAGTGTTCATGTATTCTTGTTTCAACAGAGGACGCCCTGCTGTGAGCGACAGTCAGGTGGTTGAGGACAAGGACCTGGTCCCCAAATCTCCCCAGAGCCAGGAAAGCACCCCACGGAGGTTACAGAAACAGGTGGACAAGGCTATTGGGGGACACAGGACCAGCGCCAGCATGATCAACGCTGTAGTTGGAGGTGTCAGCACACGAGGTATGTTGTAACAGTGAGGCAGTGTGACATGTGGCTGCAAGAGTTATGTCCCTTTACTCTCCAAGCTGTTGGTCCACATCTAGTTGACAATACTGAAATGTTTTCTCCTTATGTAACATTTTTGTAGTGCATTTAAGAGCCTATTATTATTTAGCATCTTGTTATTTAAAGAAAAACAGAATATAATTGAAATCTGCACAATCAAGGTCTCACTGTTGTATACAAGTTATGGAAAACTGGATATCAATTCAGGTAGTAAGGCTGGCAAATGGATTGATAGTCGAAAACATTGTTAAATGTGAAGAATTAATTACGATTGTAGATATGCAAATCACAGGGTATGAAAAATTTCAGCCAGACCACAGGGCTGGTTAGATGTAAAACTTGCCAGCCCTGACCAAAACTTACCTCAGCGCTAAGCCCATAAAAAATACTAATTTACTGAGTATAATTAAATTAAAACTGATGAATATCTTCATGTCTAAATTTACGTCTAAAGTTTAACCCAACCGTCAGGCAGGTGAATTTGAGAATCTTGCAAGTCCGTGTTGAAAATAACCGTCCCTGGCGCCGCCGACGGTCAGGCAGGCAGGCATTTCGAAAGCTGCAAATCGTGTCATCGATAACATCACACATAAATTATTGTGATCAAATAGAGTTGTAATTTACTCACACAATACACAAAGTTAGGTCTTTATTCATTGACTGCTTCAAAATTATGTTGAAAACGCTGCTTTTTGTAGGCAATCCATGTATAAATGTCTCACCACTCACCATTGATGTGAAATATGTTGTTTTGGTATTGATTAATGTCAGATATGACTTTCTTGACACTTTTCCCCTTAAATATTGACTGATTTATCGACTTGATGCTTTGATGTGAGATTTATGTCATAACAAATAATTGTATATTGTTGTTTGTTTTGTCCAGATTATCGAACATATGGAGTTCCAACTATCAGGACTGACCGCTCGGCGCCACGTATCCGGCGCGTGGATGACCGCACCAACTATGGGGATGAGTCCAATGCTTTCGGCCTGCTCAACCCGTCCATCTTCAGCCAGCATGGTGTGTATGAGAAGGACTTCCTCCTCCCCAGAAGCCAGCATGAGGTAAGTCACAGAGGTTGTTTTATACTCCCCATGGAGCTGAGAATGGATTTTGAGTGCATGTTGATCCATGGACTTGGGCCCTGTTGCACAAAGCGATCTTTGTGTTATGACTATCGTAAGTGAGTTACGGCCACCTTAGCGCTAAGATAGCTTAGTGCAACGGGGCCCAGGGTAATAATGCTGGAGTGCTAGGAGCATGTCAACAAGCATACTGAAGGAGCTATGGAATTTTACTCATTAGTATTTCTTTGTTGTTGTTGTTGTTGTTGTTGTTGGTTGTTGTTGTTGTTGTTGTTGTTGTTGTTGTTGTTGTTGTTGTTGTTGTTGTTGATGATGATGGCACCAGTGAGACTATGGTATGTCAATGTTATCCTGCAGTCCTGCTTCCTCAACATTCAGACTGTATTCTATGGGGTTGTTGGTATTGGTGGTGGTGGTGGTGGTGGTGGTGGTGGTGTTGGTGGTGTTGATGATGATGGCACAAGTGAGACTATGGTATGTCAATGTCCTGCAGTCCTGCTTCCTCAACAAGACACAGTTGCCTAGTGGATTCCCCAGCGAAAATGGTTCCGATTCCCCACATGGGTACAATGTGTGAAGCCCATTTCTGGTGTCCCCCACTGTGATGTTGCTGGAATATTGCTAAAAGTAGCATAAACACTTACTCACTCACTCACTGTAATCTTTGTTTCTATGGATACTGATAAACACAATATCAGCTATTGACACAAGATCATACCAATAGCCAGTTTACTACATCAGTAACTCAGAAAGGCAATGATAAGTGCTTGCTCATCATTCTAAGGCAATGGAAAGTGCTTGCTCATCATTCTAAGGCTATGGAAAGTGCTTGCTCATCATTCTAAGGCAATGGAAAGTGCTTGCTCATCAATTTAAGGCTATGGAAAGTGCTTGCTCATCATTCTAAGGCAATGGAAAGTGCTTGCTCATCATTTAAGGCTATGGAAAGTGCTTGCTCATCAATTTAAGGCTATGGAAAGTGCTTGCTCATCATTCTAAGGCAATGGAAAGTGCTTGCTCATCAATTTTCAGGCTATGGAAAGTGCTTGCTCATCATTCTAAGGCTATGGAAAGTGCTTGCTCATCATTTTAAGGCTATGGAAAGTGCTTGCTCATCATTCTAAGGCTCACCATAGGCTATGGAAAGTGCTTGCTCATCAATTTAAGGCTATGGGATGGAAAGTGCTTGCTCATCATTTTAAGGCAATGGAAAGTGCTTGCTCATCATTTTAAGGCTATGGAAAGTGCTTGCTCATCAATTCAGGCTATGGAAAGTGCTTGCTCATCATTTTAAGGTTTGATTTTGTTTCCCCACCTGTGTATGAGTCAAGGCCATTTCTGGTGTCACCTATCATTGACCATGGCTACAAGCAGCCTAAAACCAAACTCACCTACCTCTTCAACATGTCACCTGATTCCACCATCCTCCACCTTGTTTTTATTTAAGATTCATCATCTAATGAAACATGATATATTTCTGTGCTTCAGGTACGTGATATCTTCACCCAGGTGGGAGTCCACATGCCAGGGGAGACGTTCGAGAGTGTGTGGAAATGTGCCGCAAGTAAGCACCCCAAGGGCCACGTCAGTCTGGAAGCTTTCAGGAATGTGCTTGATGAAATACAGGCCGAACAAATCCAATCGGAAAAGCATCCCATGGCAATCTAAATTGACAATTTTAATGCATCTTATTTATCTATTTATTACCATAAATTGATTTAGATGTTGATGAAAACTTTAGTGAATTAAATATAAGGTATTTGGTAACATACTTGATAATGCTCATGTGCTATAATTAGAAGTCTGGTAATGAACATGCCAGTATATTTCAAGAAATTATTTTATATTTTATTTGTTTATCAGTAATCAATGTCGTAAATATTGTGCTCTGATAAAAAACACATGAACTGATAATACACTTTGACCCTTCATGGTAATAATTATACATTTCTATACCATAAATATGTTCTATAGCAATACAACACTGAGAGACTATCAATGTGATGGTTTCTGTACAACTTCAGTCAACAAATGAATGTTTCAAATCAAAGAATTTCTACAGTATTTGCGAAGCGGCAGTATTTAACACTTCCATGGTGATAGTTTTACATTTGGAAGCTATGAATATTTCATTTCTATACAACACCGAGAGATTATCAATGTGGGACTTTCTATTCAACTTCAGTCAACAAATGAATGCTTCAAATCAAAGAATGACTACAGTATTTGCTAGAATTCAGTATTGAACCCTTCCATGGTAACAACTATACACTTGTGAACCACAAATATTTTATTTGTGTACAATTCAACACTGAGTGATTATTTCTTACATGTTTTCAGTTTCATCAGGAAATGTATTGTTATATCAAATCAAATAACATCTTCTGTTTTTGCAGAGATTCAGCATCTAAACACTTCCATGATAATAATTATACATTTCTGAGCAGAACATTCTATTCCAATTTAACACTGAGTGATAATTGATAGGCAGTAGGGGTAGATAATTTTAGTACAATTTTAGTCAATGATTTGTCCTGTTCATATGACAGACATTTTAAACAGTATTACAACAGACTTTAACAGCATTTACTAGCATTCAGCCTCACTGCTTATGTGTGAAAAGCATTTTCAAGCAAACTATCAAAATAACATATTTTGTGATATTTCACATGGAGAGAGTGACTATTTATTAATATAAATTGAAATCTAGATGTAACACTTGCATTTTAAACTTGTATTTAGTCACTTTGTCATGACTGAATTTCCTGATTCCAACAGCCGATATGGCTGTTTTCTCTATACAGCATTCCAATTACAGCAAACCATCAAAATGATTATAGTTAGATCATTTTTTTATTTTGATTGATTATCTGCCAGCAAATCAAACTCCTTTCTATAACCACAATCAGAATGTTCACTGGTCAAACTTCATGTTCATAATGTTGATGGGTAAAAAACATGTGAATTTGTTTTAGTCATTTAAGTCAACAATATGTTATTTTCAAATCCTCAGGTATGAATCTAAGATGCATTATGTAATCGCAAACCTAAGTCATTTTAACTGTTGGGCAAAAGAAAAGAAAACCCTTGTTTGAAAGTCGTTAAAAATGAAACAAGAAATAGTCATTTGGTATTGATGTATTTGATAGGGCTATAATATATAGTTGTGATTTTGACCTTAAGCTTGCAGTGTTTCATCAAATGTTTTCAACCTTATAAGATCTAGATAATATTACAAAGGGAAGAAAGAGTAAGTATATAGTCTGAAATGCTGTGTTCCTCTCAATGCAGAAGTTGACATACATAAATTTTCCTGCATTATGTGTATCATATAATATTATTTAATTTTTTGGTCAAATCCAATTTTCAATAGTATACTTTCTTTTGCCTGACAGTATGTCTATATTTACCAAAATTTAGGTGATATATTCTGATAGAACCTAGAAAGAATTTGTTCCCATATTAGCCTAGTAAGATTGTATTGTGATGATGATGATGATGCGATTTTGTATCTGCATCCGAAACATATTACGAGAATTTGCCATCAAACCTTGTACGAGACCCTCCAAAGTATTACCTTACAACGAAAATATGAAGAGAATTATAAACACTATAGTATTACAACCCAGCTCATGAACACGAGAAACTGAGTCTAGCAAGGTTTTCTTGTCTCAGAAACACAATTTTACAACTGCACTTCAATACTCTTATCAGCACAAGTATTTTTATACTGATTTGTTCCAGTACATGTATTTGTTAAATAACATTTGCCATTATGTATATTGTCAACCTGTTATTTCACTACAGATTTTCATGGTTTTACACATACAATTTTTGTCATTGTTACGTGCTATTTCGCACATGATGAAGTTCAGACCATCATCATCACTTTGAATAGTTACAGAAGTGTAAATACAATCCTTTTAATTAAGAATATATATGCTTCACAATAGTAATCAAATTTTCAATATGACTGTAGTTAATCTGTCATGCCAATTTGAGTATTTCTTGATTTCTTGATACACCTTATGTTGGTATTTTGAAACTTATGCCATACAACACTGTGTTTTTCTCATTAAGATTTTGACTTATTTGTTATCTTCTCAATCTGTCTATATCAATGTGCAGCTAACTAGGAATTAGTTTATACCTAATTTTGAAATACAAAATGTTTCATATGTAGATATAGGCATAAGTCCTTACAGTAATATTTTGCTGATTTGACATAATTGCAAGTGTGTATTTGCAGCATAGATTTGTGCTTGCTCAGTATTCAACAGCTTTAATCTGACTTTGTTCTCAGTATTTTTCTGATATTCTCGCCCTCGTGGAACTGATACATATCTCACAGCATCCAGTATTGCAGAATCTCACATCTTCCACCATGCTATTGTGCTTAATACCAGATAGAAACTACCGTTGTATCACAAGACAGTATTAACAAAGAGATTAAAACATTAACACACATCCTTATTCCATTGGGATGACTTGAACACATGATGAGCCACAAGTAGTATTATTGAGAGCTGGTTCCAATACCTCACTATTGAGGGTTTACAGTATACCCACCAGAATTCATATAATGTCAGTTGCTAGGTGTCATGTCAATATCAGTAGTTTTGTCAATATTTTGTCAATAGCATTTGGTGTGTATCATTGTGATTCAGCAACATGTGTTTACATGTACACATTTTACATGTGTTTACATGTACACATTTTACATGTGTTTACATGTACACATTTTACATGTGTTTGACAGCAGTATTTCACAATGCAGGACTAATTTGTTACTGTATCGCATAATAAGTTGCTTTAATGAAATATTTTGTACATTCAAATATTTAAAAGTTTATTATATATATTAATATTGGATTTTCCATATTGGTAATTTTAATGAATGAGAAATTGTTGTATGAATTATTTGCTTCAGGTCAAAGAACATTTAAATTATTTGCAAAAATTCAGTATTGAACACTTCCATTGTTATATGTTTGCATTTCTAAGCTATGAATATATTAATCCTATTTAATAATGATTGATAATAAATAGTTTACCTGTAATGAGGTTACTGCACAATTTAAGTAAGAAATTGAATATGCTCCAAATCAAAGATGTTTGTCTACTGTATTGGCAATTATTCAGTAATGATCACTTCCATGGTATTTAATTACACATCCCTTCACCTTGAATATTTTAAATCAGTATGTTTTGTTACACTGTCTGAAGTTTCTGAACAATTTCAGTCAGGAATTGAATGATATGCTCAAACCAAAGAATTTCTACAGTATTTGCAAAGATTCAGTATTGAACACGTCCATTGTTATAAGTATGCATTTCAAAGCACAATATTTTTTCTATACAATACAACACTGAGAGATTATCTGAGTGTGATAGTTTCAGCACAATCTTCAGTCAAGACATGAATCACTTTGCTACAGATAAAAGAAAGTCTTCAGTATTTGCAAGGATTCAGTATTGAAACACTTCCATGTTAATAAATATACATTCTAAGCCATAAATATTTCCCCATACAATACAGCACTAAGTGATTATCAATGTTCTACTTTCAGTATAATTTTAGTCATATCATGAATGCTTTGGTTCAAGTCAAAGAATGTCTACAGTGTTTCAAAAGATTCAGTATTGAACCCTTCCATGGTAACAACTATACAATTGTAAGCTATGAATATTATATTTCTATAGAACACTGAGATTATGAATGGTACTTTCTGTACAACTTCAGTCAACAAATGAATGCTTCAAGTCAAAGAATGTCTACAGTATTTGCAAAACAGCAGTATTGAACACTTCCTTGGTTTAATTCCAATAACAACATAATTGTTAAAAAGGTTTTATACAATTTCAGTCAATAATTCATCAGTTCAACAGGGGGCAGTGGGGTAGCCTGGTGGTTAAAGCGCTCGCTCGTCGCGCCAAAGACCTGGGTTTGACTCCCCACATGGGTACAATGTGTGAAGCCCATTTCTGGTGTCCCCCGCAGTGATATTGCTGGAATATTGCTAAAAGCGTCGTAAAACCCAACTCACTCACTCAGTTCAACAGACCAGTTATCAGTATTTACCAAATTTCAACCACACTGTTTTTTGTGTGAGCAGCATTTCCAATACAGCAAACCGTCAAAATATATAGTATTCTTTTGTGTAGTTTCGAATATGTAGAGTGAATATTTACCCATATAGATTGAATTGTATGCATTACAATATAATTTACTTAAATGCAACAGTGTTTTTAATTGTATTTTTTCACTTTGTCATGACTAGAGATTTGCCAATACCTACATCCATATTTGGTTGTTTTAAGTGATTGTGCATTAAAATATGTATGATTATTATAAGAGATGAGTTTGCATTTTACATACATGTTGGTATTCACAGCAGATCTAGACCTGAGCTTGCTAGACAACCAAGTCATCAATGCTTATCACCACTGGTATATTTTTGTACCAGTTTCAAGGGTCAGTCAATCAAATTTGTTATTTCCACAACTGTGTTGACAGCTAGCAGCCACACATTATAACAATGGGTTACGGTAGCACAAGGATTCACTTTGTTACATACCTAAGGGATCGTTTTAAAGACCAAAATTCCTTCTTACAAAATGGTCTTTGTGTTTGACTGTTGTAAGGGACTCTTCGTAAATGGCTAGGGGGGTGATGATGATTTTTATGGAGAAGCATGTACAATGTGAATGACCCCCAAAAAAATGTATGAACAAAGTTAGAAAGCATGTGTACAAATTTGCTGACCTCCTTACCTCCCCAGAGCAAAATGGGTGACACACGCTCACACGCACGCACGACGACGCGACGCGCGACGCGACGCGATGCGACGACACACACACACACACACACCCCTCCTTAAAATCATCATCACCCCCCAAGCCATAAAATTATGAATGGTTCCTAAGTCTATGTACAGACTCCATTGGCTGTCAGTGTATATTGGTAATGACAGTTTTTGCAGGGAGTATTTGTTCCCCAGGTTCAGGATACAGTGAGATGAAGGGTGTCCTATCTTACCAATATTGCTACATTGTTGCTTTCTGTACCCAGTGATTCAGAATCAAGCCAGTTGCAGAGAAAACAGTCCCTTATGTCTTGCATTTTTGAAACTGTGATATATCAACCTATGTGCCACTTGATCAACTTTGTACAAAGAATTTGAGTGTAAATAAAGTAGAAAATGATATGAAACAGTGTTTCATTTACTGGCTGATGATGACATTATCCACATAGAGATGAGTTTGAGGGGAGTCAACGTGGCAAGTGATGATTCTCCACATTCCATTCAATGAACCTATGAAGATCCGGGTTAGAATTGGTCTTCAGCAACCCATATTTGTTGTAAAAGGCGATTAACGGGATCGGGTCGTCAGGCTCGCGACTGGCTCGTCAGGCTCGCTGACTTGATTGACACATGATTTTGATCACTGGATTGTCTTTTCCAGACTCCATTATTTACAGATTGCCGCCATATAGCTGGAATATTGGTGAGTGTGGTGTTAAACAACCAACCAACCAACCATTCTAGGAGGTTGTCAAGTGTTGATAGTGCTTGTATCATACAGTAGAGGTCAACATGTGAAGCTTGCTTCATACATATACTAGGCACAAGAAATAAGGGAACCCCCAAGTGGAATTTATAGTTGAAACAATGCTACATAAAAGTTACAAGCTGATTGCATTCAAACCCAGATCGGGAAATCACTTACGGCTGACACGACAGTCACCACCATATAACCTTTACATGATACACGTGCATCATGCACCACACGTGCATTCTAGCCTATAAAACTGACAGTAAGCGTGTCCCACGGCAGGGCATTGGCATGTTAGAGGGTGGACAATATCAGAATAGTGTTGCCCGGTTCTTCAGGAAGTCCAAAAGCGTTATTTCCCATCTCATCAACCTTTACCGTCGAACAGGGGGGCGTTAAAATGAGGACCGGTCGATGAAGACGCCCTAAAACCACCCCCAGACAAGACAACTTCCTGAAAACTATAGCTCTGAGGAATCGATTTGTCACAGCCTCGGATATGAAGATGGAATTCTTCAGAGCCACAGGAACACGGATTTCGAACTCTACTGTATGAAACAGGCTCTGTAGCAGAGGTCTAAGTCAAGACGTCCATTCAAAGGCGTGACGAGGACAGCTAACCACAGACATCTTTGTTATCAGTGGCCTCAGCAACGTCAGAAGTGGGGAAATCGGCAATGGCGACGTGATGTTCAGTGATGAATCCCGCTTTCGTTTGCGATTCACGGACAGACGATTGCATGTGTGGCGACGCCGAGGAGAGCGTGATGGGAGACCCACGGTACAGGAACACAATTCTTATGGAGGCGGCTCTATCATGGTCTGGTTAGGAATTTCTTTCAATAGGAGGACTGATTTTATTCTTTTACGTGGGAATTTGACAGGCCAGCGGTATATGGACAAGATCTTACGGCCACACGTGGATCCAATGGCTCACAGGACATCAGGATGATAATGCACGTCCTCACAGAGCTCGTGTTGCCGTGAAATTCTTGCAACAACAAGGTGTTACATCTTTACCCTGGCCGGCTAAAACACCAGATCTGTCCCCTATCAAACATCTGTGGGATGTGTTAGGGCGTCGAGTGCGTCTCAGGGAGCCTGCACCAGCAAATCTTGATGTGTTAGGTAGAGTACTGCAGCAAGAGTGGCACTTGATTCCAAAGGCAACAATTCAGTGATTGGTGTCCAACATGCCTTCAAGGTGTCGTGCATGTATTGCTGCTCATAGTGGATACACTCATTATTAAGTATATCTGACATACGTACCGTATGGTTGTGCTGATTAAATTATACATGCTTCACAAAGTCAAGGGGTTCCTTTATTTTTTGTGCTTAGTATATGTAGACCACCTTTGTAGTCTGTTGGATGGAGTGTCCGTTATAAGAGTTGAAGGTTCTTGGTTCGAATCCGTCAGCTTCATTCCCAAAGTGGGGTTAACGCACCACAATTGCTCATCACGCTAAAGGCCCAAGTTTGATTCCCGACATGGATACAATATGTGAAGCCCATTTCTGGTGTCCCCTACTGTGATAGTGTGATCATACTGCTAAAAGCTAAAACTTGTTTATTGATACTAAAAGATGTTAAAAGGTCATAATTGTTACCCCACCTTGAACTCAGAATTAAGGGGATAAAAGATGGTCAGCTCAGAGTCTCATTGGGGTATCTTTGTTTAACTATGGCATGGTATAATGGCCAATATACCTAAGCTTCAAACAAAAGTAACCATGGCAACGAAACAA